TTTTAATTTTTTTCCATAGAATTTCGAGAGAATAAATATACAATTTTTGACCAACCTTTTTTTTATATGCCCCAAGATATTTCGTGACAAATAATAAAATAACCCTTTAAACTTGCTTATTCTTGAAACAATTTATCTAATTATTATTATTATTATTATTATTATTATAGTACCTATAATCTTGAAATAAATCAATAAACGATATATTACGATCATGAAATGGTTATTAACAATAACTAAACAATAATAATAGTCTGTAATAATATCGTTTGATAATTTTCTCTCAAGAGATATAGATGGTAACTAAAGTGGACATTATTAAAATCAATGTTTAACTTAGCACGTAAAATTGTGTTTGTATAACATGATTGTATAATTACTTAAAATGTTATTAACATAGACACACATTCTCTCTCTCTCTCTCTCTCTCTATCACACTTGTTTGGCTCTGTCTGTCTGTCTGTCTGTCTCTCTCTCTCTCTCTCTCTTTCTCTCTTTGTAGAATGTTATCTGCAAATTGATTTCTGTCTCGGTTGATCAGGTTATTCTATCATTGCGTTTACGCGAACGATACGTCATATACACACACATACGTTCATGATGATACATATGAACGTATGTATACGTTACGTGTATGTACGTATACGTGTAAGTGTTTTGTGTATGTGTGTGTGTGTTTGTGATATGTATATTTGTGCGTTTAACAACTTTCTTGTTAGCATGTATGCGAATAAATGTAACAGTGTAGTTATACGTAAATATGTATGGATGTATGTATGTAGGTATAGGTTTATGAACACACACTTACTAGGTTAACAAACCATGTTCACACGTGCAGAACTTTAACTATTGTATCCTACCGTGTTTATCGGCCTTTAATCGCGTTTCACGAGCTCCCTACCGCATTACGAAATCAATTCGCCCTGAGGTATTATAAACCATGGTGTTACATACCGATTTTCTTTGCTATTATATTAAATAATTATATACGACGTTGTTATTCCGTCATATGCGAAATTATACGAAGGTTTTTTTTTTTTTTTTTTTGAAGGTTCGGAAGGAGTACGTGATTTTAATGGATTTCAATTTTGTTCTTTTTTTTTCTTAGAAAGTTTAAAGAAAAGAATGGGGAAGATGGGGAATGAGGAGAGAGAGAGAAGTGAGATCATGTTGAGAATTTGGTTTTTTTTTTTTTTAATGATTATACTTATTTTACGTTGTTGTTTGTCGGAAAGTAATGATACGTAATTTGTAATTTGTACGATGAGAGATTTAATTTGAAAAACAACTTGTATCGAATTTTTATGGGATAGTTTTATTTATTATTATTAATATTGTTATTAAAGTTACATTTGTTGTTTTAAACGCAAATTAATAATAATGCATCATTATATATTTCGTTTTTACTGATATTATGTTTTTTTTTTCTTTTTTTTTAATACGATAAACATGTTCGATAAAAATATATTTTTCTACATCTCGTAAAAAGGAATGAAAAAAAAAGAAAAGAAATGTTTTTTAATAAAAAATAAAACGAATAAAGAGTAACACACACGTGATTGAAAATATTTGAAAATATTAACCTATGTTATATTTTGATTTCTTTATTTTTGCAACGTTGGATATTGAAAATTCAGCGTACCTGGTTCTCGATGATATTAATGAAAAAAAAAAAAATAAAAAAATAAAAAATAATAAAAGAAAAAAGAAATAAATAAATCCGAAAAAAGAAACTCTCAAGATTTTTATTCAATTTCAAGAATATTCGACAATCTCCTCAAGAACTCGCGGAAATGATGTCAAGGGAAGAAAAAAGAAAAAAAAAGAAAAAAAAAAGGGATGGGAATGATATAGGCCGGAAGAGCTTTAATACTTCCGCTCTCTTTAAATGCCAGTGAAACGCCAACGAAACGTTTTTAAAAATTCAACGTCAATCGTGTTCACCATCCCTTTTTTACGTATCCGTTTTTCTTTTACTATTTTTTCAAAAGTTCGATTTGTTTGTTTGTTTGTCTTTTTTTGCTCTCCGATTTAAAAACAAAACTAAAACCAAAAGAAAATAAATCAATAAATAAATAAATAAATGCAATGGCACTCGAAAAACCATCCACGTTTATTTTGACTTGTTCTTCTTGTTTTTTTTTTTCCCCCTCTCAATTTATTTGATGTATTTTACAACGTAATATGCAAATATACAATCTAATATGTAATTAAATTAAATTCAATAAATGGTATGATGACATGCAATGAATCGCTTACGTATAATATTAATTATTGTTATTAAATAAATGATATATTTGACAATAATTAATATCGTTCAGTATTATTATTATTATTATTATTATTATTAATATTTATCATAAATTTCGATGAAATTTATTTTCTAATTAATATTTCATTTTAATACAAAATAACAAAAACGACAACCAGCAACGAGAGATTAAATACATCGAATGAACTGTAACCATTCATTAAAACGTCTCACAAACATTCATTTTCGTTAATTACGCAATTCAAGATATAATAAATAAAGAAATAAATAAATATAAGTTTGACAAACAATATAGTTTCGCGTCTATCTAATATTCTAAACATATTCTGATTTTTATTAACAATACAATTTGTCTTATTACTACTACTGCTATAATTACTACTACTAATACTACAATACTATTACTACTATTTCTACTACACTACTATTACTGCTACTACTGTTACTACTACTATTAGTACTATTATTGTTGCTACATTTACTGCTACTATTGTTACTACTACTATTAGTACTATTATTATTACTACTTCTACTATTTTTACTACTACTACTACAATTATACTGCATCTATAGCATTTCTATCACTATTACTTCTGTTACTACTACTTCTATTACTACTACTACTACTACTACACTACTACTACTATTATTACTACTATTTCTCGTTATCGAGAAGAAAACTTGATTTAAAACTCGTAGTCGTGGTAGGTTAGAGTAAGTTCATCCGTAAGGTTGGTATGGCGAGAGGTGAACGAAGGATTGGAAAAGAAGTAAGGGTAGAAAAGGGAAAGAGGAGAAAGGTGGGAAAAAAAAGAAAGAAAGAAAGAAAGAAAGAAAAATGGTCGTAGTGAAAAGGGACAAAAAAGAAACGGGCTAGTCTTAGAAAGTCTCGATCTTGGTTTCCACCGTGAAAAGAGGAGAAAAAAAGTAAAAATAAGAGGAAAATAAAAAAGAGAAGAAAGATGTATACACATATATATATATATATATAGAGAGAGAGAGAGAAAGAGAGGAAAAGAGAAAAGAGTAGGGTAGGTCAGTGAACGCTATACCAGCCAGCTCCAATGGGAACACCCCGGGAAACTCTCGTTCTCTTGCTGGTTGTTCGCTCGATATCTCGAAACGCTGCTAAAACTCGACGAGAATACAAGAGAGAATGAGAAAGAGAGAGAGAGAGAGAGAGAGAGTAAGAGTGAGAGAGATTAAAGTGATGCTGTGTGAGTTTTTACTTATATACTCTTTGTATTCTCTGTTTGATAAACCATTCATTATGTCTTGAATGAATTAATGAATGATTTAGTAAGATAAATAATAGGAAAATTCAAATATTCTAAAAAGAAAATATACACTCATATTATTTTTTTTCTTTCTCTCTCTCTCTCTCTCATTATCATTCTCATTCTCTATTTTTTTTTTCTTTCATTATTAATTAATATTTTTCTGATCAATCAGTATTTTAAATTATCATCGGTAAAATCATAAATCTTTCTTGTTGTACTTAATTTTATTCGTTGTTTTTTTTTTTTTTTTAATATTAATAATAA